CCATGGAATCCTCTGGTCATATCATGTTCCTCATCATCCTGAAGCAGCTGGCTTGATAGAACGATGGAATGGGCTCCTAAAGACACAATTATGGTGCCAGCTAGGTGGCAACACCTTGCGGGGCTGGGTAAATGTTCTCCAGGAGGCTGTATATTTTCTAAATCAGCAGCCAATATGTGGTGCTGTGTCTCCAATAGTCAGGATTCATCCAGGATTCATGGGTCCAGAAAGGGATGGAAGCTGGAATGGCACCACTCACTATTACTCCTAGTGATCCTCTTGCAGCATTTTTGCTTTGAGTCCCAGAAATCCTATGCGCTTCGGGCCTGGAGGTCCTGGTCCTGAAGGAAGGAACTCTCCCACCTGGAAACACAGCACTCATTCCACTGAACTGGCAGCTGAGAGTGGCCCCGGGCCACTTTGGACTCCTCATGCCTTTGGATCAACAAGTCAGGAAGGGTGTCACTGTACTGAGTGGTGTGATTGATCCTGATTACCAAGGAGAAATTAGACTGGTGCTACATAATGGAGGTAAAGAAGAATATGTCTGGAATCCAGAAGATCTCATATGCTGTCTCAGTACTACCATGCCCTGTAATAGAAGTAAATGGTAAACTACAATAACCCAATCTTGACAGAACATCAAATAACCCAGACCCCTCAGGAATGAAGATCTGAGTCACCTCACCAGACAAAGAACTGTGGCCAGCTGAGGTGCTGGCAGAGGACAAAGGTAATACAAACATGGGTAGTAGAAGAAGGCTAGTTCTACTTATCAGTTATCACCACATGATCAATTGCAAAGTGAGGTTTGTGATCATCAGTTTCTCTTCTTTTTATGTGCTTATTGAATATCTTTCCTTTGTTCATAAACGATGTACCACATACAATTAGATTCTGTGTTTTCATTTATATGTATGAAAGATGTATGATGTTAAGTGTAAGTGTGATTTCATTAAAGTCTGAGAATTATATATGGCTAAAGAATTGTGTACAGGTGCCAAGTTGACAAGGGCTGTGATAAGTAGATTTATTGTGCCCACCTGGCCAACAGGAACATATGGATTAATCAGATCACAGTTTGATCGGCAAAGATATAAACGGCTGATCAAGGCCCACCTTCTCTCTCTTGCTTACTGGTGATCAACCAGCATGAGGCTGCTTTAGCAAGTTGGCTGCCTTAACTTGTGAGCAACACTATTGTGGGACAAGCCAACCTGTGGATCATGTTGCTATAGCTTGAGGTTCCTTTGAGACCTGCTTTGCCATGTTGCTGGTGTGTGCTTCACCTGAGCTTGAGGTTGGTGGATCCTGTTACTTTGCATTGCTTGAGTTCAATATGCCATCTGGGCCTAATTCACTAAGATCCTGAGCTGCTGACTGTTGGTGATCTGCCCTACTGTTTGCAGTCTGTGGGTGGACTCTGCCTGAATTGCCCGAGGGAAGACTCAGCTGTCTGCTTCCTTGACCAACAGAACTCGAGAGT